GAGAGAGAGAGAGAGAGAGAGAGAGAGAGAGAGAGAGAGAGAGAGAGAGAGAGAGAGAGAGAGAGAGAAGGGGGAAAGGGAGCAGGGTAAGTAGTTCATGGTGAAGGACACACCTCTCCTATGCACTTCCTTGACTCATTTGTAATACGAAAAAGAGTTGCGTAAACCAATCTGTATGATGTGTCGGTTCGCAAGATTCGTGTTCACCAGCTTTTGGCTCCTCCTTTCAAGTCCTCTTTAGTGCTTGGTTTCCCCATGCTGAGTGGTTGGTTTATCACATCCATGATCTTAAAATCCTCAGCAGCTTTGTCAGGTCATGGGGTTGACAGAAAGCTGGTGGTATGCATTTGTCCCAATCACTGTTTTGAACTTTTGACAAGCCAATCTGGACTGTTAGTAGGTTATGTTTTTTTTAATCCATGATTTTGGGGGAAGTCCAACTTTGTCCGAATCACTGTTTTGAACTTTTGACAAGCCAATCTGGACTGTTAGTAGTCCAACTCTACTCTGGCTGGAAAGCTGTTTTGTGATATTCTGTTGTGTGCTAATATACTAATTCCTTTCTGTTTTGGGGAGACCAAACTGGACACTCTGCACTCAACAGGACTCGTGTAAGCAATCTTTCCCTTCCTGCGCAGTAGTTTCCATTATGAGTGAGGTTTTCGTGACACAACACCCGTCATGTGCTGTTGCTAACCTGTCTTTGGGATCTGCTGGTGGGCATCGACGCGTGCAGAGAGGATAAGAAGAATCTCGGCCTACTCTACGTGAAGGTTCTCTCCGCAAAGGGACTGAAGAATCTGGAAAATATTGGGAAATCAGACCCATTGGTGGCGGTATCGCTTGGTCCCCCCCATTCAGGAGAGAAGAAAACAAATCCCAAGATGGGAACCCTCAATCCTGTTTGGAACCAAGATCTTCTTCCGTTTACTGTCATGGATGCCGAGACAACCATCAAGTTTGAAGTTAGGGACTTTGAAAGGGTACTTGAGCATTTACCTTTTACCAATCTCCCTTTCTCTTCTCTTCTCAGTCTTCACTGACTTTTCCAGGTCCTTCCTGAATAGAGTCGTACACGTATTAAAAAGAAGAAGAAGAAAAAAAAAGATTCGTAATTTCGTACACATGAGTTTATGCAGTCAAGTAGCACACCTATGTAACTGTGGATTAACAGACCTGTGTTCGAATCCTGATAAATCCTGATGGAATTTCATGGAAACAAATTTAACAAATTGTTGTAATAAGCCTGGATTACCGGGAGCCAGTCAGTTGAATGGTGAATACCTCTTAGGCTGTCGCCCTTTTTTTTTTTTGGTAAAGGATTTATGCACGCCTATTTGATTTTGTTTTTGCTTAAATTTTTCCCTGCCTACTAGTAGAAGATACACATGTGAATTGATAGTTCAAAAGTTACGACGTCATGCTGAATCACAAATACAGTAGTCTTGAGGGTTATCTGAGGGCATACACAGACTAGAACTTCTATTTTTAGTTTATGGATGCAATTGCGGTCAGATGCATCCAGGTCTGGTCGTAAATACGGTCAGATACATACAAGATAAGAGATAGTGTGAGCAGGCCCTGAGTGCCTCCCTCGCAGAATACAAAGTTCATTATAGAGCTAACAGCATCCAGTCGACGTTGCAGGAACCTAAACAAAGCATAAAAGAACGAAGTGAGTTCGAGGGGACAAATGAGTGGGGTTATGAGTACTGTACTGAGCATTGGGTGTGCAGTACATTGGGGTAGATCAGTCTTTTTGTCTTTTTTTAGTATTGTGGATTGTTGGTCGGTTGTGTCTGTCAAGCGAGGCTGAAGCTCTTGCAGCATCTCGACAAAATGATCTCCAAGGAAAAGGCGGAGAGTTTAGACCAGCCAATCACAAAGGAAGATTGAAGCTTTGGTTCGGCATGCAGAATAGGACCCATAAAAAAACTCAGGAATTGAAGATTTCACTGAAGAATTCTAAGAAAAGTTCTCGTCTTTAATGGGAGATAAGTCAGATGAGAAGTTGCTTCGAGTACCCGTGCTGTTTATTTGGACGTCCATGGATTTGGTCATTTGTATAATTCCCAGACGGCTAGCCTATCTCAGTTGGTAAACCCCCGAACTGTTGAAATACGGACCTGAGTTTGAAATCCATTGGAAGCGGATGAGTAAAGTACCATTATTCTGAAATATGTAGCGCTGGTCGTTTTGATGATGATATCTCAAGGCCATAGCCCCTCTAATTAATAAATGTTTTTAATCAGCATGTCAGTACAAAAATACTACAAACAACTTTTGCCTGGGAGTTGCCCTCAAATTCCTAGCCAAATTGGAGTCAAAAAATAAAATGAAAAAAAGAATATTGGCACCTGTTCCCCCATGTGCACAGCTCAATCTTGCACAAAGACAACTTGCTCGCTTTCATTGCTTTAAACGTTATGAGGCTTCATTGCCATCCCTCCTGCTAGAGAAGAAAGAAAGAGGAAGGAGGACTTGCCCGCCTTCATTGCTGCTTTAAACATAGCGTGCTCAGGATCCACCAAGCCAGCAATATTCACACGACATGAGCACACTCAGCACTTACTTACATGATGAACACCACTGTTGCATACCGCGACGGTCAGCGGCCCTTGACTGGTCGGCACCTACCGGTCGAGGGTCGTCGGCACCCCACAAAAAAAAAGAAGGAAAGAAGAAAACAACGGTCCAGAACCCCTAATAACCCGACCAACACCCCCATAGCGGCCTCCAAAAACCCATACATCCCCCAAACCGCCCCCAACACCCTCATTACCCCCCCAAGATCCCCCTCAATACCCCCCCCAATACCCCCTATACCCCCTTATACCCCCCTTATAACCCCCTGTACCCCCCCCATTCCCAAAAGTTTCTCAGCGGATTTGGGCTTTACTCAGCTAGCGCAGTACAGCCCCCAACTCTGATTTGAAAAAAAATCAGTGGATGGTTGTTTTCTGACTGGTCGGCAAACCGCCCACCGGTCAGCCCTACTGGTCGGCTGCAATACGGTCGGTGGTCGGCAGGTATGCAACCCTGGTGTACGCAAGTTTTTCAAGCTACGGCTATGGCCGGTTTTTCTCTGAACTGCACACAGGTCCGACCTTCTCTCTCTGGATGTCCTCACTGGTTTTCCTCTCTACCAGTCCGCTCTACCATATCTGTGGCGTCCAGCCCCGTCAACTACTCTCTTGCCAGGTACTGTTCAGACTCCCAAGATGTTGGCACACAATAACGCTGCAGCGCTTCCACATAAGCCAGAATCGAAGAAGTGGGGTTTCCTGGCTCTGGCCTCCCTTTTGTGCATGTGCCAATGGCGCCCACATGACTCTGGCCCGGTCTGGCCTGCCCTGCCATGGCCGACAAAGCTTGGGCCGGTCATGGGGCCCGTCCTGGGATCGAGCCGCAACTTGACCTGGACTGGACACCTGGCGGCTCCGTACCTACTGACTATGAGGGACTTCTTCTGTTTCTGCCACCTTTGTCCTACCGGATCTCTATTTGGACGGTACTGTACCTATCGGAAAGTTCTACTGCAGCACTATGGCACAAAGGAAAATGGGACACGATACCAGTATCGTATTGCAGAGGGGCGTGAATCCTTTTGTGTGTGTAAAGTTATAATAATATTTGATGCGTATTGCATGTAGGTTTCAGGACGCCTTACCGGATGAAATCTGATAGGCATAATCTGGAGGAAACCAACATATGTCTGTATGCTCACAGACTATTGAAAGGAGTTCACACATCTGAGAGTCCAGCTTGGCACCCCACTGAGCACGGGCTCTCTTGGATCGACTTAAGATGCTAAAGGGTGCCTTGCCTCGTTGGCCCGAGGCACCTAGGCCTGGAATTTACCCTGATCTCATTCTGTGTGGTCCTTGGGGTTTGGGATGCTGCCAATTGTTTACCCTGACCCGGTGGTGGTCATATCAAAGGTGTTTGTGGGGCATAGGAGCCTAGGGCCCATTATGCACACTGTTGAGGGTACAGATTAGTATGAAACAACCCTTGGACGTTATAACTTATTAGTCCATCCAACGAGGTCCAGCATTTGGGTGACTTGATGCCTCTCGATGTTTGCTAAGGAAACCTTGTCATCATCTCTTCAGTTTGTTTTTGAGGGTCTGGCATTGGGTGTGTTACATCTGCGGCATGTATTCAGTGCCTGACGTCTCCGTCCTTTGCTTTGGGGCTTTTTGTTTGCCTGTTTTGTACTCACAAGGTCATGCGAGACCGGCCCATGGGGGTTGCGACTTGCCCATTGAAGAGTCTCACGCCCGGTGAGAAGACACAGCTGTCATTGGAGTTGAAGAAGAATCTCAACCCAGATGACCCTGCAAATCAAAAGTCACGGGGTGTGCTGATTGTGGAGGTCAGGTACCAGCCCTTCCTCAGTGAACAATCTGAAGCTGGGGACACAGGAGCAGCCGGCGATAGCGGCGGCAGTGATGCTGGCAACAATACCCCTGCGAGGATTGCTGGCGGCTCAAACTCGTTATCCAGAGGCATAACAGGTGGTAGTGGGATCCTAGTGATTGAAGTTCATGCAGCAGAGGACCTGGATGCCAAGAACAACTGCAATGCCATGTGCAAGATCACAGTCAGGGGAGCGACTGCCGACAAGACAAAGGTACGCCCAGGGCTCTTATGTTCGTGATTTTCGATGGATGCCGTTTTCAATGCATGTTCCAGAAAGTAGGGACAAGCAGTTTGACGAAGAGCAGCTAGAAAATCCAGGCCAGGTTTGAAGAAAGTCCATGGCAGTGACCAACGATGCATGTTGAAATCCAGACCCAAGTTCGAACCCAGAGGCAATTTTTTGAACAAAATAAAACAATTCTGAATTACTTCGGGCTGGTCAGTTCAATGATGATATCTCAGGGCTGTCGCCCCTTTATTTAAGAATAAATTAAGGTCCATGGCAGTGATGAAGGCTGGAGGAGTTGCTGTGTAGGGGAGCGGGGAGTACCTGTGCCAGGAATTTTATGTTTGCATGCGTGAAATCAGGCCTCAATTGCCATCTCCGAAAAGCAGCAGGTATCCGATGTTTTGCTTTGTGAGAACGGAAAGACAGCTACAGACAAAGACAGGTACAGATGGACAGACACAGAGACAGACAGCTACAGGCATGCAGTCAGACTGGCAGGCAGACAGATAGACAGACAGGAAGGCAGGCGGGTAGACAGAAAGCTGCAGTGAGGCAGGCAGAGAGCCAGCTACAGTTATAACAGCTACAGACAGAAAAGAGACAGAAGCTAGGCTAGCAGAGTGGCCCGGGACCACTTGCCCGGCCGGGCCAAATTATTAAAAAAATAAAAATAAAAAATACATTTTGCGAGGCTATGCCCGCTTAGCCCCTACGGGCCTTATTTGCAGCAAGGTCGGCCGCCCTAAGTGAAGGCAGGCACGACAGGCCCTCAGGGCCTCGTTTTCAGGGTACCCCCCCCCCCGCAAATGGGGAAATTCAGGCAGTTGCACAGCATCAGTTGGTTGAATGAACTCAGGCCCTGGGCCGCCCGTGTGAATGAATGTAAAGCAGGCCCTGGGCTGGGTACGGGTACCGGGCCAAGCACAGGCCGAAAGCAGTTGGGCACATGCAACTACTTCAGGCCCAATGCCTGCATTCCTCGTGACTGGGCCTCAGGCTACCGGGGCCTACTGGAAGCTTCTTGGACTGGACGCAGGCAGGCCACTGGGATATAGGGAAGGGCCTGCCTCCTCATTGGAGAGATGGGGTGYTGGCTGCATGCGGCGACAGCGCTGCTGCGCTATTTGCTGGCTGGCGCCCTCGCACTCACGGGYGAGTGTGGAAGAAGCAGGCAGCCATAGCCACGCTGCCTGCTGTAAGCTGGGTTGGGCGCAGGTTGGTCCTTGGGTGCTAGAGGCATCTGTGCGGTGAGGATCGGGGTTGAGAGCGAAGCGGGAGTCATACCTGGTGCTTGAGGCGAGCGGCATTGGCCGCATATGCTCGTACTTCGGTGAAGCTGTTGACGTCAACTTCGGCATTGTAGTAGTAGGCTAGATAGGACCTGCCATCTTGTAGTCTGGGCGCCGAGCGCCAATAGGATACCAACTCTTGTTCTTTGTTGATGATGATGAGAGACAACTTCAGCATTGTCAATTATGAACTATTGCTGTGTTCTTATTTGGTATAACTTGTGATGCCATTCTGCTTATGGTTCGAGGTCATGGCTATTTGGTCACTCATGTATGATGCTGTTTGAGTTCT